TAGTTAAAATAACCATAACCAATTGTATTTTTGTTTAACAAACTTAATGTACACGCATACATACAACATGAACATTAACCAACAAATAAATCATTGATACGCTGGTGTCATTAGTCAACAAAGATGTCACGCACTTAGTGTCAAAACTGGAACAAATGCATACATGCAGGGAAATCAGAATCACGGAATATACACATTTGATCATAGGGAATAAAAAGACAGTTGCAGCGAAGAAAATTTTCATTTCGACGAAGTCACCGTCAACTAGGCTGTACATTCGTGTATTTATAACAAATGGATGGGAAAGTTCCAGAATAATTTCTGGTTAGGGGTCAAATTAATAAAAATTACAATTAGGAATTAGAATGCCATAATAAACAGGGGGACGGGTAAACCTCAAACAAAGTAGCATAATAACTAAGAAGATTGACATTGTGCAATTGGGGGTTAGAAATGTAAAAATAACAAAATAGACAGGATGTTTGGATAAGAAACTAGTGTGATGAATAACTGTTTATGCAATCAGGGATTAAATATGTAGAAATAGTAAAATGACAAAATAAACAGGAAGTTCGGATTTGAAAATATGGTAGTGTAGACAGAGATTAAGAAAAACTTGAAATAACATGAATAAACAGGAAGTTTAGATAGGAAAGGCGATGGGATGGTCATTATTAAAAAATATACCTGTTTATGATGGCCATGGCAGGGACAGGGGTTGGACGTAATCCTTTTGGATACAAAGAGTGGGTTTGAGCTTTTGGATAGCTAACGCCTCAGCTATGCCCAGATGTCTTGATTTCACTCCCTTTGATAGGTTTGATTGAATCTTGTATATTACTTTGAAGGATTTTTGGAAAGGCGCTGAATGTCCTGAGTTGACCAGATGTTCTTTCACTGAACTGTATACATGTTTTTGGTCTCCTTTTACTAGCCAGGCTGGGTAGTGTTCGCGAGCGCGTTTACCAAGTCGGCGCATGGTACGGCCAATGTACTTAGCTCCACAAGAGCAAGTAAACTGGTATGTGCACGTTGAGGTGGCCCAATGTGACAGCTTGTCTTTCACGTTCTGGTTGAACAGTTTCTTGCAGGAAAACGTCAGTCGTGGCGAAGTATGTTTTCCTCAGCGATTTGGAGAGGCGTTTGCGAAGGATTTCTGCTTCAGTATCACCTTTGAATTCTAGTTTAAGCAGAAGTATTTTCTTTGGAGCGCATTGGACTTGTTCGGAAATTTTCTTAGATTTGACATTCTTGTCTATGAACCTGGGCGGGAAACCGTTTTCCACCAGGGTTTTTCGGAGATTACGTAGTTCTTCTTCAATCACTTCCTCGAGGAAAGAGCGTATATCAGGTTCCTCTTTCTGCTTAGCGGCACGAAACTTTGAAAGTTGATGAATTGTCCATTCCATGTAGGCTTTTTGTATATGGACCTTTTCAAAGAGTTGTTGTCATTTCAGAATCAGAATCGGTGGTAAAGATAAGTTTAGTTAAATGTCTATATAATCGGTCAATGAATCCCTAACTAGTAAACCAGAAGATTTAAATGTTGAAATCGAAAAAATAAATGAAATATTACTAGTGAATAACTAACTGACTAACCACCAAAATTTATTCAGAAATGGATAAGAGACCATACAAAAAAAATTAGACTAGTAAAGACAAAAATAATGCATAGAATTCAAAACCCCTGTGATGATACTGCCGTATTTAGAATGAACGTCAGAAACCTTACTCAGGATTCCCAATAAGGCTGGAATTAGGGTGGCATTTAAACCAACCAACCAACTCTCTCAGAAATAAAGTTTGGCAGCTCAAAGACCACATGGGTCCACTTAGGAAAAATAAAATAACTTACAAAATACCATATAATGACTGTTAGTGAGGTCAATTAGATTATTATTATTGTTCTCTTGGGTGCCTAGTGGAACATCGGGCTTCAATTACACGTCTCCACTTGTTTCTGTCTTCTGCTCTACTTTTCACCTGCGTCCATGTTAGTCTATACTGTTTCAACTCCTCTTCACACAATCTCCTCCATGTCACCCTTGGACGTCCCACTCGCCGCTTCCCTTTCGAGGTCCACTCGAGCGTTGGCCTGACGCACGATGTCACCCAGCGGCCTCCTCAGCGAGTGTCCAATCCATCCTCACTTTCTCCTGCATATTTCTTGAGCGATTGGTTCTTGTTTTGTTTGTTCCCATAGTTTCTTGTTGGTGATTCTTTCCGGCCATCTGATCTTCAGTATAGAGCGAAGACAACTGTTGATAAAGGTCTGCAACAAGCTGTTGGAAATATTCTTTGTGACCCGCCAAGTTTCTGATCCATCCGTATAGAAGAACTGACTGACTTGACGTTTGTATTGAAAATCCGAATTTTGTTGTTGATGCAGGCTGCGTGACGAAGATTTCCAGATTGGTTTTAGGTTGATGAATGTGTTTCTCGCCTTCGCAATTCTCGATTTGACATCCTCCCTCGTCCGTTCTTCCTGTAGCTGAGACAATGCTCCCTAGATAAGTGAATGAAGTAACCTCTTTCAAATCCCTCCCATTGATGGTGATTGGCGAGGTTCAATTAGATTATTGGAACGTAAAAATTTAGCTGATTGACCTTGCTGAGCTAAATAATCTGGAAGAAAGCTCAGCCATTGCACTGCATTCATCAGTATGTAATTAATTACAAAATAGGGTGGAACAGGATGAAAGTATTAGAAATTAATATAGTTAGGTGGAGAGACGGTGAGGTTAATCAGTGAATCTTTGTTTATCTCGATTCAACACTGAACCCACGTGTAATCGGGATGACGCAGCGCCTCTCTACCGAAGGCATGGAAATTGGCAAGAAACCACCACAAGGAGAAGTTGGAGAGACAGAAAGAGAGAAAATATATACAAAAGACAAATTGTGAAGCCATGTGACTAAATTGATATGATTATGAGTGGCAATACTTTATGCTCAAAACCTTGTCATTCAGTTATTAAAACGGTACCACACTGTATGATATTTGAAATAAACTCATCTAATATGGAATTTTACATTCGACTACAGTGTCATAGTTGAAAGCTTCGTTTCTAATAATGACGGTTGATTTACTACATCTGAAGAAGTCGCACACTCCTGTAAAGTCAACTAAGTGAGTCATATTCACACAGCATATCTGCTGTGTCTGATTTCCCGCAAACTGGAAGATATGCAAGCGAAAAGCAACAAGTTGGCAGAAGAAGCATCAAAGATAGGACTTCAGGTGAACATAGAGAAAACAGAGGTGATGAAGATTCCTGGGCAACACCACCAACAGCAACAACAACAGACAACAATCAGCATAAATGGAAGGAACCTGAAAGAAGCAACCTCCTTCACCCACCGAACTTGGAAACATCGTTTCAACTACAGGCGGAACCGATGAGGATATCAAAGCAAGAGTTGGAAAAGCAAGATAAACTTTCACTACTCTCAAGTCTATGTGGAGGTCAACAGCACTCAGCATGAAAAACAAGATCCAGATTTTCAACTCCAATGTGAAGTCAGTCAGTGCTACTATACGGATCAGAGACCTGGCGCGTCATAGAGAGCATCTCAAACAAACTACAGACCTTCATTAACAGTTGTCTTCGCTCAATACTCAAGATCAGATGGCCGGCCAGAAAAGATCAGCACTAGGGATCTCTGGCAATGAACGAACCAACCAGGAACCGATTGTGAAACAAATAGACAGGAAGAAATGGAGATGGATTGGCCATACTCTGACATCACTAGACAAGCCATTGCTCGAGTGGAACCCGAAAGGGAAGCGTCGAGTTGGTGGTCAGTGCAAGGGGGACTTGGAGGAGGTCATGTGAAGAGGAGATGAAAACGTGTGGGCAGACATGGAGCCAGGTAAAGACTCTAGCAGAGAACCGAACGCAGTGGAGACGCACGGCTGAAGCTCTATGTTCCTCTGGGAATTAAAGGATACAATAATTATAATATAATATCTGCTGGCTCGTAATCTAGTGATAAACAAGCTCGTAGGTTTTCTCGACATTAGATTGTTTGAGACCCCAAGAGCAAGGAAATGAAGAAAGAAAAAAACATGTGCTCAAATTATTGCTGGTATACAGATACTACTCAATTATTATTCTATATTGGCAGTAGAAGTATTTTTAAACTGCCAACTTTAACTTGCACTTTAGACGTTTATGCTTACGATAACAACCAACAACACAGTCAGGAGTGTAACTCGGCTGACGTTATCCAGGTGTTCTGTTAAGCCTTTCAAATAATACACTGTGACAACCATGCCTCAAATCTGAATTAGTCATTGGATAAGCTAGAAAATGACTTTAACTTAAATATCTCATGGTCACACATTGATTGGGAATCTCACCAGATCGCCTTGAATATATGTTTTTTTCATTTCCTTGAAGTAGTACTGTAACGACAGAGGACAAGAGCCGGGCAACAGATCGTTTATTGAGAAAATGAAGAAATATTTATAGATTTTTATGCACATTATTATTCCTAATTGTTAGCAGAGAAGCAACGTCTTCTGATTGGTTATTTTTTTGCTGTGGCCGTTTTTTTCAAGGTCAGGTTATATATCTGCGAATCGTAGTTTCACACGCTAAGTCTGCTATGATTGGTTGTTGAGTTCCTCAAGGTTAGGCTTGCTTTGTTATTGCTTTATTTAGTGGCCCCTATTCGGGACGTAAACACTGACGCATATGGGTGTCTACAATTTCGGCTAGCAGACAGCTCTCACCACAGCACTATGATTGTGAGTGCCATGCTCACCGTATCTTCCTCCGTGCTTTACGCACAAAAGCGGATTTTGTGCAATCAGTTCAATCTCGTCAGGGAGTGTGTACAATTATGGTCATCCATTTGTCGAATCAACACTAACCGCCTAGCTTCATTCGCTAAAGTATAAGAATGTACAGTCGAAGCTAACTAATAAATAGACTGACAGTCATATATACACACACATACAAAAACCATTCTCTTTCGACTAATTGACTAACTAACTAACCTGTTCGTCCAGGATACAATTCAGGTGTATATTCAAAATAAACATTTGGTGCATCTAAATTTTGAAAGGTGGCTAGTTCACGTTCAGCCAGTTCATAATTTCGTGTACGTACTAATAAGGCTAGTCGAGTAAGCCAAATCTAAAAGGAGAAGACGAAGATAAAAAAAAACTTAACAAGGAGATATAGTGGAGAGAGGAAAACACTACTACTGAATACGAAGTATGCAATGTGAAATAGTCGTTTACAGCCTAGTATCTTAATTTGCAGGATTTCATCATGAGCTGACATTGGTTAAAGAAACAATGCAAAAACCAGTACTCACGTACTAGACAACCATCTGTTTCACCAGCCTGGTTTTGGGACTCTTCATCAGTACACATCCACCCCACTGCCAGGATTCGAACCCAAATCCTTCCGGTTATGAGACGAGCTCACAGCCCACTAAGACACGCATGATATGGTGCGACTGGCGCTAGCGCCAGTGTCATCGCTGGAGAGTATTTGTCCTCACACACGAACTGCTGTACCCCACTGGTCACGACTTCCTACTAGAACCCAGGTAAATTGGTAGAAGATGGAATTCATAGGCCACTGGGTCGGGTGTCAGTGGCTTCATGGTCTACGAGCTAGCTCGCCTTGGAACCGGAAGGTCTTGAGTTCGAATCTCGATGTGTGCGTACTGATAAGCAGTCCTAAACTAGGCTCACAAAATCACTGTCCAATACTTGAGTGCTAGCTTCCAATAGTTCTATAACCGATGTCGGGTCATGATGAAATCCTGTAACTAATCAAATCTAATCCGTGCAAACCAACACTTGAATATTCGGATATACAAAGAATGCCAAATTAAGTCATTTTCCCATCGATGCCTAAGCATTTTGTTCCACCTGAGACTTATCATAGACAGAAGGTAACAGAATGACATTAGCTAAGTAACTCAGGGGAAAACGCTTTGGCATTCGAGTGTCAGTGAAGAACACAGTCCATGCAAAGAAGTAGAGTTGATGAGGAGTCTCAGACAGGATGAATTGTCCATCCTGGATTCCCCCAAAGTGGAATATCGGGCTTCAACGCCAAGTTTTGAAGTTCCAGTAGCAGTAATGTTGGTTTGTTGTTTAAAGGGTGGAGTTGTTAGTCATACACCCAACACCTTTCCACTTTATCCTGTTTACTACAGGCTAAGCGAGGTTTAGGAGTCAGCCAATCAGTCGGGAATCGAACCCTGACCCTGTTTGTGTGTGTGTATGTGGAGAGTATTCTGCCAATGAACCACCAACTTATTGTGGCCTATCAAAGTTGTTTAACACCTACAATGTACAAAAACAAGATGTTCACCATGAAATAACTACCAACATATGTTCGGTGTACCTTCCTCTGACTCCACATCCACTTCTGACTCTATTCAACAGTTGGAGGCGGTCGGCCACAGAAAGCCTTGGACCTAGGTTTCGTGCTAGTTGGCACTCGTCAGCAAGGAGTATATGCAACCTTGAAGGAGCTCATTTCCCTTCTGAGATTCGAACCCACGTCACCCAGTGCTGTGGTCAGATACGTTTCCACTGGGCTATTCGGGCTCGCGATTGACCTCCTGTAGGACTGTAGTGGGTATTTCCATTGGACATTAGTAACTATTGTGATGTGTCTAGTCCTTTCTTTGGTGCGGACTGAATTTCATCAGTCAGGTTTGCAATGTGGTCACCATTCTAGGTAGCTCGCCATCACGGTGCACATTGATTTGATGATATTAGATAGTTGGAGGCAATCGGCAAGGGTGCAGATACGCCTTGCTGACTGGTTAGTGCCAACTAGCACGAAACCTAGGTCCAAGGCTTCCTGTGGCCGATCGCCTCCAACTATCTAATACCATCAAATCAATGTGCACCGTGATAGCGAGCTACCTAGAATGGTGGTCACATTGCAAACCTGAGTGATAGAATTCAGTCTGCACCAAAGAAAGGACTAGACACGTTACACTAGTTATTGACTAGTGCCCAATGAAAATACTTTTGACTCTGTACCTAGGTGCCTCTTGTTAAATAAGCTCCCCCGGAGACCCACACACCAGTCCTGGGCTGTTAACTGGTCACATTCTTATTTCTCTAGCAGAAAACAGTATAGTGTGTGTAAAAGGCAAATCTGCCTCTGCCTTACTTACTGAAGCTGGAGTCCCCCTCAAGGTGGGTGGCGTTCTGTCTCCTTTTATTTTTTTTCTTACATGGCTTGTCTCTTTCAAATGAAATCGACTTCCGTGAATACGCTGATGAATGATCTGGCTGTTCTAAACTGAATAGCTTAATGTCATCAGGTATCGATCAGCGGTCCAAGCTGAATGAATGGTCTTACCTTAAATCCCTCTAAATGTCAGACAGTTAACTTCACCTTTAAGGGATAAACTGGTCTGTTCACCTGATGCTTGTAGCATTAGAGGGCACTGAAATTGAAACTAGGTCAAGCGCAAAAAATACCTTGGAAATAGTTTTAAATGTTTCATGAGACCTACTGTAACACACCAGAAGGCAAGACACGGAAGCCAAGATATATTTTTCGTCATGTGACCAAACAGCTATTTATATATCTATCTATACAGTTTATTATTCTTTAACCAATCACTGAACATGTGGGATTCTGGTTTACATTAAACGGCATGAAATAGAATGTTCAAATATACATATAAATGTAGTATTGTGTTGCTAATGCACTCACTATTGAATGTGAGGATAATATTCCGTTGGAACCCATTGTCTGTATCAAACCACCACCACCACCACACTACTACGCTAAGAAGTTAAGACAATGAGAAATCCCTCAACCTCTACTTTTACAATTTGTTAACTCTTGCATCTTACCTATTGCACTTTACTGCTCCCTTTTAGTCTTTCCTTGGTCACTCAGAAACGACTATGTCATATTGTGAAGGGTATTAAAAGTAGTAAGTAGGGCAAGTGGTGTGCCACTTAGTCAGTTCGTTACTACTGTAGTCGATGTACATCTGAACTCATGAGAGAAATGGTTCAAACCTCCTCCTATTCCGAACTCTCACCCCATTACATCTCATCAGGTAGCAGGACTAGAAGTCCTTATAGGAGATTATATGCTCGTACAACCAAGTACCGAAACTCAGCGATACCCTATTTGACCCGCTCACGTTCTATGTGATAGAGATGATGTGTTAAGCGTGAAACCTACGACTTAGTATGTTATTAGTAAAATAACTGGCCCTTTATATTCTCTTCTATTTGTAATCAATTCTGGTTAATTATACCCTGTAGAACAAATTTTTCATAATAATAATGATAATAATAATAATTTGCTTTATTCCAAAACAGCACTTGTGATACAGAATGGAATTCTCAGCGTTTTTACTACAGTATTGCATCCAGTTAGTACATTATCAATAAATAGAATTCTACATAGATTAAGGAAATCTCAGTTCATTATGACAACAACATATTGGCATGTCGGTAGCAAAGGTAAAGCTGAACAGTGTTTGAAGGTGTTAGAAAAGTAGGAGCTGTCATATTTACTGGCGTAAGCGAGAGAAAGAAACAAGGCAGCACATAACGGAAAAAGAGAGAGAGAGAAAAGGAAAAGAAAGAAAGAAAACGTTGTACCTATAAATGATATGAGTTGGAAAGACGACGTCCAGTTGTTCTACTGACTATTTAATGAATTATAGGTGTCACGCCTAATGCTTTCTTTATCGCACAGAACACGAGCCAAGTAGGGTATGGTTGAGTTTTTATACTTGCTATTACGAGCATATAGTTTTCTATATAGGCTTCTGGTTTTACCTGATGAGATGCAAAGGGAGAGTTGTGAGTGAAGAGGGTGGTGTGAGTTAGATAAAATGGATTTGGCCCATTTTTCACATGAGTCCATGTGCCTGTCAACCAGAATATTAACAAGCTGGTTAAGTGGCACGTTGCTTACCCTGCTGACGACCTTTAACATCCTGCGTAATATGTTATAGTCTTTCTTCAGTAGCCCGGGAAAAACTAAGCCCGGGAAACAATAGAGAATAATAGGCAGGATGCAAGAGTTAACGAATTGTAGGAGTAAAGGTTGGGTTATACCAGAATGTTTTATCTTCTTGATGTAGAAGGTAAGACGGAATATTTTCTTAGAAATCGCCAGGATATGAGACTACCAGGAAAGATCAGCAGATAGAATGACGCCTAGGTATTTAATTTCCGACTTGGTTTCTATTTCAATGCCGTCGATGTTGCACACCTTGTGAGAGCCAACCAGTTTGTTTGGGTCGGATTTATGCCGGATTTATTTTTGCTGTTGTCGAGTAAATTAGATGTGGTAATATTGTACCGAATGCTGAGGAGAATCCCACAATGTATCATCATCATTACTGTTTTGGAATAAAGGAAATTATTATCATCATCATTAAAAATATAAATCAGACCTGAAAGAAGGTTTGAAAAGAAAGAAAGATCATGCTTACCACCTACCTGAGCAGTGTACGGAGTCAGCGCCGACCCACCTTTGCCTTCTTCAAATCCCATATTTGATAGAATACGATAGGTAAGACTTAAAGCGCAGGTATACCATCCATTAGCCTGGAAAACAAGAAGACCAGTGTCAGGTGAAATGTAAATAACACATTTTGAAAATTGGTAAACCACAACTATGTAGTCCATTGGACATTTCCCAATTGTAGTACCAAATGAAAGTTTGTATAGACAACAGTATGACATTAAAGGGTTGTCTATGCCAAGGTAACCAAAATGGAGATGAACTGGTGACTGAATGGCTTGTAGTGTAGTGGAGTGACTGAATCCGTTATTCATTCTCTGTTGTAATTAACCTCCACCCTCTGTAATTAAATATTTTCAATAGTTGGTTTGTAAGGATTAGATTTGTTTTTACGCGTTGATCACAGATTGATGTCAGTTAGAGAACCATTGAAAAACAGCACTGGAGTACTGCCAGACAGCTGTTTCATCAATCTGGTTTGGGAATCATCGCCAGTAAGCACCCACAACCAGGGTTCGAACCGAGGACCTTACGGTTACAAGGCAAGCTGGCTCGTATATCATTCAGCCACTGGGACCCGACTCCTCAATAGCCAGCCCATGAATTCTAACTAACTAACCAATTCGTGATGCATTTAGCACGACTGGCACCAACCAATGTCATCGGTGGAAAATCCATCCTCACACTTGATTGGATGAACCTCACTGGTCACGACTCCTCAGTAGAACTGACTCAAGGAAACTCCGTCCTGTAGCAAGTCACTAGCACAGTTTCATTATTTCTGATGACAAATATGACTTAAATAATGTCCATCAAGTTTTTAACAGCTGCCACCCATCCAGCCATCAGATTTACAATTGAAGTACAAACCAGACAGACAATCTCCTTTCTCGACGTCTATCTAACACAAAAAACCGATGGGACTTTGAATAGACACCCGTATATAAGAAGCCTAAGTGGAATGGCCAGTTGAGACAAACTTTAACAGTTGGATAACTATTAATAGCAAGCGGAACCTCACAAAATCTCTTGCGGCTAGAATCCAAAGAATCTGCAGCCCCAAATCAGTAGAAGAAGAGATCACTCTTATGAGGAAGACACTACTTGCGAATGGCTATCTCTCATGCTTTATAGATAAACATGCAAAGCCAGAAACCAATAAAGAACACTCCATCTCCGTGCCGAAGAAGATTTCTACACATGAATATGGCGTTTAAAGGCGACCTTCTGGCCGATAACGTAAAGAAAAATAACACCTAACGCCCTGAAAAGAACATTCTCTGTTGCTACATTATTACTGGTATTCTCATGTCACTTATTGTTCTTCAACAACTCTAAAGATAAACTATCGTATTTGACCACTTCTATATGTATCTACCAATTTACTTACTCTTGTGAAGCGAGTGAGATATATAAGTCGTTCGAGCCAAATAATATTATCCCACTTCGCTACGTCAAGGTAACGGTGGGTCGATAAGGGGTGCCATAACTGAACATATATTCAACACTGGTCGTCACTCAATATGTGTTAGGAGAATTCATTCAAAGTAATCTACAAAGTCAAAACAAGCCTCCCGAAAACAGTAAGTTTCCGCATACTTCGCATTTCTGAAGGCTTAATGATTCGGATGGTAGAACTCAGATTTATCTACACACAAATGAAAATTCTCATCCCCTAATTGTTTCTGCCTCGGGTATAATTCCAAGTTAAACTATTTTGCCCATTTTTCGTACGATATTTTTTTCGTTTTTCCTTCACGTTCCCCAGTGGAACATAGGGCTTCAAGCTAGTGGCTTGAAGTTTCTGAAGCAGTGTTTAATTTACAGGATGGGGTTGCTAGCCTCATGCCCAAACTTTCCTCTTCACCAGCATTGTTTCTGGCTTAGCGAAGTGAAGTGGTAGAGCACGTTGACCGCTGCACTTATTTGGGAAGTACCATCAGCCCCAACGGGTTGATCGCTGACGAAATCTCAGCACGAATACAGAGGGCTAGTTTCGCATATGCCAGTTTACACCGTCTCTGGCGTAAACTATTGAACAAAGGGCGTGTGTACTGCTCAGCAGTCCGCTCCATCCTCCTTTATGGCTGTGAGACCTGGCCATTGAGAGCGAAAGACATGAAAAGATTAGCTGTCTTCGATCATAGGTGTCTGCGTTCTATCTCCCGCGCGATGTGGTATAATAAGGTGAGCAATATTGAGGTTAGGCGTCGAGTGCTAGGTAAGGCGGGGAAATCAGTCGACGAGACTGTGAAATTACATCGACTGATATGGTTAGGAGAGGTGTTACGTATGCCTAGTCATCGCCTTCCTCGTCGGGCAATGTTAACTGATATAGGGCCAGACTGGAAAAGAGCTAGCGGCGGTCGAACGAAAACATGGCACCAGTCAATGAAATCCACAACAGTTAGCTTAAGCCACGTAGGAAGGTGTAGACTTCCTGGTTGGGGTCCTCGGGACGGTAAAAACCAATGGTTGGAAACAATTGGTGACATGGCTCAAAATCGTTCTCAAGGGCTAACGCAGATGCATCCACTCCTTGTGACTTATGATTTCCAATGAAACTGTTTTGTTCTTCGTTATTATTATTCCTTTATCTCACACCTCTGTTTACTGACTATATTATGCATTTCTTCTACTTTCTTCTCTTGCTTTGTGTGCTACATGGAGTGTGGCGACTTGAGCTGCCGCACATATGTGCAAAGTTCTATGTCGAAAATCGACCGACCGACCTTCTGTAGATTTATCATATTACGTAACCCTAGTTTATTTACACTCAATAATCTTCACCCATCCCCCATTGTTACAGTTTGACTATTCATCGCACTTTTCGAAATATTCTGAGGACGTAAACAATAACTCTAACTAAATTCTATTCTCGTCTGACAAACGTAATGTACACACACATACACACACAAATAGGTATATATAATTGCAATAATATCATACCTAAGTGAATGAATTAGCCGGTGAAAAGAGACTCTTCGCTGAACTGTTTGTTCTTATATTCATATCTTGATGGGTGTTTTTCATGGAATGAATTCATACATGTCAAATAGACTTACTGCATACCCGACCGATAGCTGCTACCTTGACGTGGTGGTCGGGCTTGAACACCGCAATGACCCAACGAGCTACACTGGCTGGAACTTATGTTCCTGTAGGTCCTACCATGCCAGAAAGGTTGTTTGGATAGCGGTTAGACAAAAAGCAGCTACCCAATCCAATACTATGATTCAAACAAACTCACAAAATATCATGCCGGATCGGTTGGGGCCCGGATTAACAACGACCGCGCCTCCTGCTGCTGTGCCACAGGGCAGAAGTGATAAATATGCTACTGAGACACACCAAACAAGAAAGAACTAACAAAAACAGGCCGCGTGTGACCAACCTCAAGCAGTTGTCCCCTGGGCTCTGCGGTCACGCAGCACTAGCCTTTTCTCGCTCCCCTTCTCAGGCGTGAGGCTAGCAAACCCACCCTGTAAACAAAGCTGCTACAGAAACTTCAGCAAGATGAATCTCCTTGCGCTAAAAGAAAAAGTACTCTAGCAGAGAACCGAACGCAATGGAGACGCACGGCTGAAACTCTATGTTCCTCTAGGAATTAAAGGAAACAATAATAATAATATCTACTTTGAGATATCATCAATAAACCAGAAAGATGAAAAAAGCACGTTTTGTGGAGGTATGGCTCATTGACTAGGAACTCCACTCTTTGAACCTAATGACTTCTAGAATAGAATCCGCTCCAGCTTACTTCAGACTGGAGAACTGAAGAGTATCATTAAGTTTCACACGATAAGTGCGATTAGATAGTTTTCCAGTCAAGTTTTTTCATCGCGAACACGGGTAAAAGTGGACAAAGACGTGAGTAGCATTCCGTTTAAAATTGGCTGAAGTGGGGGGGGTATTTATAGAAAATTACATGGGAAAAAGTAGACAATTTGTCCGTTGAAATTGTGGGAAACGTGGGTAAAAGTTGAACTAGAAAAACTTCAAAAATCATCAACCATAGGTCTACACGCTGTAGAATCAGGCCACAAAATTGATTTTGACAATATTGAAATAATCCAGAAAAACTTCATAAATCACAAAGAACGTCTGACATCATCAGAAGCACTTCATATCAAGTGGAATCCAAATTGTCTGAACTGAATAGGAATGATGGACCAAAACAGAATTTGACCTGGTTAAAACACCTCCCTCCCCCATGAATTGACAAAATCAACACAAATGTGGGATAAGCAATTTCATTATGTAAACACACGCCGCTTTTATCATTTTACACACTGATCAAATCCAACAATTTACACTTGGTTTTGTTATCTTTACCAAATGACCAACTTGACAACGAAAAATGACCCCAAACTGACGAACGATGATCAAGTTAGTAAACTTTGTTTTGATATCATAACAGATGTACTATTACCTTTGTTATTTTGTTTAGTGATCTTCATTGTTATTTTGACTTTCAATGTTTCCCTTCAACTTGACCTAACTTGTCTATTTTCTCACCTCTTAACTCTTTGTCGTATATATATGCTGAGATTTTGTAAATCCCGGTTTAATAATACTTTGATAAAGCTATTAGCATTAAATAGCGAAATGTCAGTAAAAACGACAACATCCTTTTGTTTTTCATTCATTGGGAAATACAGCAAAACCTTTATTATAATGAATATCATATACCCAATGCCTAAATTTTTCAAACTGTTAAAAGTGAACTTGGTTTGGACAATATGGGAAAAAGTGGGTAGGTATTTTTTTTTGAGAAAACGTGGATAGAGGAAAAAAGTGCGGTCCACGTGTCAAACCAACAAAGCTGTCCATTTTTCTTCACTTTATCCATATACATCCTCCAAATGGGTTGGGTACATGGAAAATCTATCCCACATAACTGTGAGTATAACGCATACAACAGTAGTTTAAAATGTGAGCATAAAACGACGTCGAACAAAATATCATTATCTACTATTTACTGCATTCACTCGATCCTAAAGGTCAAATGACTAGCTGGAAAGGATAAACGTTCGTTAAGGAACCCACCGAAAGAATCGAGAACCTATTGCTCGATAAGTAACACAGAAGGAAGTGAAGATGCATCGGCCATACATTGAAGAGGCCTCCAAATGATGTGACATATCAACGATGTCCTCAAGCGGAACCCAAGTAGGAAGAGTGACAGGGTGTATACTGCACATCCGAGGATGACATGGAGAGAAGGTCATATGAAGAGAGGGGGGAATGAAAGCTTGTGGTCAGTCAGTCATGAAGTCAGTTGGAAATGATGACAGAAAACCAAGTGTGATGAAGATGTTTTCTGTTCCACTCAGAACGCACGGAATGAACAATAGTAATAATCATAATAATAACTATTTTATTAATTACACCAAAACACAATAAGTAACTTACAATCAATTCTTTCAAACCATCAACATTCTGATTCACTTGTTCAATAGACGGTGCTCGTCGGATCGCATTCACTCCTGGTTCATCACCCAGAAATTGAACCAGTAGATGATGAAATGGATCAGAGAATGTGGTGGGACTGACACCACTATTGTTATTGACAATTTCATAATCCTTTCCCATGAGAACAGGTTTTATCTCAGCAAGCTTTGTAGGTGTATTTCGATTCAATAAAGCATTTCTAGTCGATTCTGATGGTAGCCAAGCATCTCGTTGTCGTAGACGATTTAAACTAGCCGTGTCCTGTTTAACTTCTGGTTGAATATTTTTCAATGAAACAGACTTCTCAACTGATTCTGACTGAATTAGAGAAGAAAAAAGGGAGGGGAGGGGAGGATATATGATAATAAAAAGGGAACATGGTTTATTCATCACAAGTACAACAAATGCTAACGAAATACCCGTAGACCAAGAAATAACCAGATGGACAGATGTACACTTTAACACAGCTGGCTAGTCTCAATCACGACTAAATATACCTGATTCACACTATCACTAATCACTACTTTTTTTATTCATTTACGTTCCCAGTGGAACATAGGGCTCCTTCAAGCTAGAGGCTTGAAGTTTCTGTAGCAGTGGTGTTTTATTTTTACAGGTTGGGGTTGCTAGCTTTATATGCCCAATCTTCCCTCCTTACCAGTCTTATAAGTGGCTTAGCGAGGGAGGTAGAGGAGTGCGTCCAGTGGCCGGGGATCGAACCCCGGACCATATGCATAGTTGACGAGCATTGTACCGGTGTGCCACCGATGCACGTTAATCACTACTACTGTATGGCTATTTTATGCATGATTAGCATAACCATCGTCTTCTTCGACAACGGGAAATGTTAGCCGATGACATAGAATGGAAAAGAGTTGGCTAGTGGTGGTCGAACCATCAGTCAATCATATCTATAACAGAGCTTAAGTCAGCCCCATGTAGGGAAGTGTAGACTGCCTGACTGGCTGGTTGGGGAGGGGGTCCTCAGGATGACGGTAGGAACCAATGACAGCTAAAGAAAACTGGTGATATGTCTCAAAATTGTTTTCGATGATGACGCAGTTACATTAACTCTTTGTCATTTGTCATATCCAGGAAAAATCCTGTTGTTCTTCCATATTACTATTCCTTTTCCCTCACTTTCACTTCTGTTTGTTATCTCTCTTATGATGAATCTATATTTACTCTCTTCGCTTGCTTTGTGTGGTGAATGGAGAGTGGCAAAGTTGTGTTAAAACCAGTCAGTCAGCGTTACTCTCTATACTTAACGTGCAGACCAAAGTTCTGTTCCTCTTAACAATCACCAGCAAAACAAGACGGAATATCAAGTTCCTTTATCTGAGGCAATCTTTTCTACAAAGCTGTAAATTGATCTTACCTACACCAACAATTACAGAGAGTTAGTTCAACTACTCAACACAAGAAAAGTGGCACGGGGGTAAGTAGGAAGTCAGTCTTTTATTATTTATCTTTTTTTTCATAAGTAAAAACACAGTTTTTGTTCAGCAAAGAAATTTCTTTTCAACGACTTCATTTTCAAGCTGTACAGTCGTATTTATATTACAGAAAAGGTCATTAAGTGGCACTAAATAATTGCTCAGTCAATATACATATATGTGATAAGAATAACGATTATTAAAATGTTATAAGGAGTAGAGTTGAAGTGGATAAATTACAAAATTATTAAAGGTTGTTTTATAAGTGAATTGAAAAATGTTTTAAAAATGTCAAGTGTTGTCTAAAAATTTTATAAAATAAGAGTACGATTACGATAAGAATGAAGATGTGAAGTGAAGTGGAAAGAATTCAAGTGGTAAAATAAAATAAAGTAAAAACTAGAAAGAACATTACTATGACCAAGGTAAAGAAAGGGGTTTGACAAAACGTTTTTGAACACATAATTTAGGTTTCTCTTCATGGATAGCTAAAGCTTCGGCTATGCATAAGTGAAGAAAACGTAAACTTTTGGATCGATTCGATTTTGCCATGTAGATAACTTTGAAAGATGAATCACGTGGGGCTGAATGACCTGACTCTAACAGGTGATCACTGATAGACGACTTCGCAGTTCTACGTTCGCCTTTCATTAACCAGACTGGATAGTGTTCAGCTACACGTTTTCGGAGATTACGCTTACAACGTCCAATATAAACAGTTCCACAAGAGCAGGTAAAAGAGTAAATACACATGGATGTGGACAAAAGCGGTAATCTATCCTTGACGCATTGTCTAATCATATTTCGGCTGGTAAGAACTAGTTGTAAGTCAGCTGCAGTGCCACTTAATGACCTTTTCTGTCATATAAATACGACTGTACAGCTTGAAAATGAAGTCGTCGAAAAGAAATTTCTTCGCTGAACAAAAAATGTGTTTTTACTTATGAATAAATGGGTATTTTTCGTGATTTATCTTTTAAGCAAGTTCTCAACAACAACAACCAACAATGACTCACCTCTTTTATCAGTCCATCAGTAGTGTTCGATTCACACACAGACTCGAATGGATCTTCATCAGCTGTAACTTCTTTTGTAAAATAACTACTTAGAATACTAGTAGTACCACCAGGAGCCTGAGAATCTAAACACATACACACAAAATGGGAGTAATGGATTAGAAAAAGCAAAAGGCATACTCTTATGAACCTCTTCTTCGTTTTTAACTTGCGCAGTGGTATTTCTTAGATTAAGGTCACCTGATTTATTAGCGTTCCCTATTGCTTCGCCATAGCTTAAATCCTTTTCCATTTTTGTTCTCACTAAAAATACAAAAAAACCAAGACAAAAAACTGAAGTGATTAATATAACTTTAAACTTTACAAAATGTAGCACGACTCCACACCTTCATGAGAATGATGAATTTAGCTTGCTGTGATTCTTCAGAAGATTTACGAGTTTCCTTTTAATGAAGGCTGACTAAATAAAGAGTCTTATAAATATATTCCCAAAACAGTTTGCTTGTAAGGATTTGATTAGTCTCAAGTTTGACCACTGATTGATATCACAGTTAGAAAACCGTTGAGAGAGAGAACCACCACTCGAGTACTGGACAGCTATTTCATCAGCCTAGTTTGGAACTCATCATTGCCAGTACACACACACCCGTCCCACTGCCATGGTTCGAACCCAGAATCATCCGGTTAAAAAGTAAGCTCGTAGACCATCCCAGACACTGGGACTCGACTCAATGACCAACCCATGAATTCGAATTCTACCAAAATTGTAATTTTAGCGTGATCACCAGCAATAAATATGGTTAAAAGCAACCATTAGCCAAATACTTCTGGACTAATTAACATCGGTACTTATTCAAGATCAAATATACCTTATGGTATAGTGTGCTCTATCGATGATTTTGTTTTCTAGTTTCTTCAGTGCTTCTAAAGAAAACACTTAATAGAAATAGGACAAAGGATTGATTTTCACAGGACCAACGTTATACAGATACGTTTTGGTGCTTTCGTCCATCACGTCTCTAACGCCCTTAGAAATAAGTTTCCCAGAGGCCTCCGCCTTAGTGCCAGCTATGTAATACTAATTTCATAAATGAACCTCACATCTCATTGTTTTATTCAAAGTGTAAATCATAATCCTCTACCTACTCATATTCCCCCAAAACATGGACTTCAATCCCACTTCAGGTTTCAGAGCTTCCTCTGACAACTTTGAAGGCCGACAACTGTTTTGACTATCTCTAGATCACGATAATTAACAACGCTAACTTACAAATACCCCCTTATATTTGTCGTCTCTTAACGATGTCTCTAGCACCTCTAAGTAATTCTTATTATCAATTAGAAAGTCTAGTGTGTAGTCATTGTTAGCTGAAAGGTTTGTCTGCCAGCGAGATTCGTTGTTACCACTCACAGAGAGTAAGACTTTCGTCGTCATATGTTGAAAGTAATGGTTACTTTTAAGTACTTACCGACCAGTTTCTTGACAAGACTCAGTAATTCCTTGTTACCTTTCATTTCAAGTAAAAGGTCGCTTGAAACCTTATTGAAGGCATTAGGTTTCCTTAATGCACCATGTATCCCCATTAAAAGCCTCACTGACATATGAATTTGTGACTTAAGTGAGCCTTCAAGCAACCTTTCACTTGAAATGAAAGGTATTCGTACCAATCACTTATATCTAAGCGCGTTGCGTAGGACTGTTATTGTTCACTTAGTAGCATTCGTATGCAACTCGCCAGTTTGTTTGAATGTTAAACAAATTACAGGTCACAATAGAAAAACAGGTTGTGGTAAATATTGTCACCGGTAGTCACGTGAGCTGTAGGATGATGTTTGCTGACGGGAACGATGCACGGATAAGTGATATCACATTCGGTGGTAAGATGCAAGTAAGTCACCATCGTGGCTGATTCTGCCTTTAGAAATTGCCACTTGATGTGATAAAGTCATTCCCTCTGGAGCCTATGTATCTGATGTACCTAGGAGCTGTTAAGGAATTGGTGTCCCTTTGGCAGGATATCCCAGCTTGCCGAGAAAAAGAATGGGTAGAAGAATGCACACATATATGAATGACGGCCTAGAACTAACAAGGGACCAGATTATGTCTGATTTTCAGAGGAATCGTCTGTTGTTAACTGAGGTTAGTCAATGGAAGGAAGCGGAATGTTCCTGTTATATCTGGGTTCCGTCACACTCAAAAGCAAGCTACCGTTGCCTCTGAACTTAAATTTTAAAACACTATCCCTGGCAGTTTACTTATGGTTGAGTTCCAAATACTGCTGTTAATGTGTGGATACCGCTTGAACGGATATGTGATTTCTGGCTGGAATATGAGGATTTTTCGGAAGCCAACGTGTTGTTTACAATGTGTATTCTCTGAAACAAATAGCTGATGACGTCAAGCAGCAAAGGCCCATGGGAAGATTCAGTGCATTTCTATTTGAATCCTATATGCATGAGACTAGGGAATCTGTTCATTATCAGTACGCTGCGGCCAAGTAGGCAGTTCAGCGTAATGTTGAGCAAGCGTGCCACCTGAGAAGTACGGGTGTGAAATATGTGTTGAAGCAAGCTGGAACTAAAACCGTCGAGTTTACTGAACGAGAAATGACGTATTTAAATACAGTGTTTACGTACTGCTCACCGGATAATGTCATCTTGGCTTTTGGTAGACTGGATGTCAATATAGAAATGCAAAATGAAGGAAGGATTCGTTTTGATCATCCTGTGATTGTAATGACGATTTTATTTCACTATTCAGTAACAAAACCATCTGGATATCCTATTGGGATTTCAGTTCCATTGTAGAATTACGAATTAGTCATCCCCGTGCTTCATCCTTTAGAATAAAGGTACCGTAGACTAGTTTACCCGTTTGCTGATTTATTACATGGACGTTCGAATCGTCTTTTTTTCCAACGTCTATGTGTTTTCAGGTCTGCATTTCTGCTCCTACTTAATTAATGCTGTTGGTCTTACTGGAGTTCATTTGGTAGTTTGTTCAGAGTTTTTGAAGTTCAGGTTTACGTATGCTATTAATTTTGGAACACGGACCTCTTACATATGAAGTTAACATTGCCGTATTTGGAATAAGACAACAGAGTAATTACAATCCCAAGCATTAAGATTATATAGAGTGTGCTATATGTACGTAACAGCACTACACACCCTTAACCTAACCCCAACACGAGAGTACGCAAACAGTAGAGAACAGACACAAAAGTCGAATGACCCTGAATCTACCAACCATATTCTTCTAGGTGAAAAGTAGCATTTATAAAAAAAGTGTATTTACAAGGCATACGTGTAATAAAACTGAATTATATAGGGTATATATACATACGTATGTATATATGTACCACTAAAATAGGCGTAATCTAACTCGAACCTACACTAAGATATCCCTCATTAGATTTAATAAACCCTAACTTGTTCCCATAAAGAACAGTGGCCAAAACTTTCCCCGAGTTAGCTTACAACTTACCAGATATCCCGTATAATGTCGTAACATTTCATTAAGCTTATTTTATTCGTCATTATAAGGTTACTTGCCTGGTTTCACTAATTTAGGCCTAAAGTTTATTTTCGCTGCATTTTTATACAGATGCAAAATTCAGTAACTTTGTAAGGAATGCGAATAAAAACAGAAACATCGCATACCATTAACAAACTGTACGTTTCAACCTTGAAAGGTCATACGGTTTGAATTTCCAGCTATTCAATTATCAATGTTTCCTGCAAGGAAGTGTGAATATATTGACTTTCTGTTATTAGTTCCAGTTCCTTGAAAGGTTTTATGTCTTATTTCTGCTGAATTCTTATGATTATACAGTTTTTGTTGATAGACAAGATTGGCGAGAAACATTAAAGAGGTAATAAGAAAGTGAGGAGTCACTGATACCATAAATAGATTTATAAATTAGAATAAAAACTGGGTGAAATAGAGCGGCGAAGTTGCAACAGAAAATACTGAATATATGCATACTAGCAGCATAGAGCTCTAGGTTCAACTTTTGCCGAAAGTTCGCTCTTTACTATTCCCACCCTATTTACCTAGTACCAGCATAAAAACCCGATAACTTTTGCAATTTTGCATCGCCTGCATGACGATTTTCTCTTGAAATCTGATTTTTCAGGCGCTGTTTTACCACTTTTTCATTAATTACACGATCATTTGAAATGGCTGTTTAAGGGCTGAGAGTGTTGTCGTTCACGCATATTAGGATGTATACTAGCACTAGATCTTATACCCACAACGTCTGCAGTATTCGTTCCGCGTAGACCAAGGACAAAGCGAAACACCAAATTGACCATCCGAAATATGAAGGATGTTTCAGGACCAAAATTGCAGAGCGAGGAGGATCGCTTAACTAGCTAGGGATCGTGCACGAACATCCAAACGTAACACGACGGTGTGCCAAATGACGTGGCTCCTTGACCGCAAGCCTTCGGCTAAATATGTCGACTTAAACAGAGAGAGCCAGCACCCAATGTTGAATGATGGATGATGTAGCTAATAATTCTGGTGAATTACCTGCGGCTACAATTCTTTGTCACTGAGAGATTATTCCTCTCCAAAATGTAATTTACCATCATTTTCGATGTCATTATCCTGACGTATTAAAACTCATTGTTGCGTTTTATCGATATCTTATATCTTTTGTCACTCGAACCTGGGTCTACTCTAAAGATATATGGATTTCCTCTTCCACTGTCCTTCATCCTTCTTGAAAATAATTCCGAAATACTGGGCAGCTGAATTCCCGTACCACCAGTACTGACTAGTGGAGTTCAAAGAATCATAATGAGCTTAATAATCTACTAGTACAATACTAACTGGTCCATTCTATGTAGAAAGCCTATGCTAACTTCTGGCATCATGCAGTTTATACTCAGTTAGCATTTCTTACTGGACTGCTATCCATCGGTTTTCATGTTACTTGTTGATAGTAGTTACCTGGAGTAACAGGTGAATTTCCTTAAGTTCGTTTGTTTTTCCCTGATCATCACATATTGCCTTTCTGGAGCGTGTATAGTCTAACTCACACCTCGGGAATATGAAAAGCGGCATCATTTTTCTTCATTTTGGGAATACCTCTATTAGCATGGATTGGACTACAACATATAGTTGTACTTAGTAAAATTTCAAAATGCCGATACGCATCCCTCACACAGCTCTTCGACTGTGTCTGCTTTCCGAATATGAGGGATAACCTTTCTTACGAGAATAAAGTTAAGTTTCGGAGTTGACCTATTCTCGTACCATAGATCAAACTCCCGTTTCAAAATGGTCTAATATTGACACTCATAATCTGCCAGTCTACCCATCCAATTTCTGACATTACACCCATTTCGGCTCATACTTACTGGGATTCTCTCAATATTCACAGAGACCATAAATATAGGCCTTCAGGTATCAACCTGTTGCAAGATCTTCGCGCAAGTTTTAATTGATGGCCGCACTCAGATATTCATGAAATTCTTTTCTTTAAGGATTTCTCGTAGCGTTTGTGTTTCACTTCTACGTTAATGCTGTGTAATAATCTCCTGGTTCAAGGACTAGTGGTGTATGGATGAACTTATATAGTACCTCAACTTGTTTTGCAATTAACATGTCCCGGGATAACACAGAGATTTGGAATATTATAGCGGATTTTCATCACGACCGTAGTGCGACTGTCTTACTTGAAATGACGGGTGGATTTTGTCGAGAAGTTTGTGCTAAGATTGTTTACATTAAAAAACTGTTTCCATGAATTTCTGTGATCCACATCATAAAGAATGAACACAAGCTTTCGGTTTGTAGGTGACATGGTTGATCTCAGCTCACTGTTTCTATCTCGTAAGTGCAGCTATAACAACATACTTATCGAGAATTATGTGCGCGAGTACCAGCCTAGTCGATATCCAGCGTAACATGCAGCTAGAGATATGGGAATCAAGTGACACAAATCAGATGGCTGAATTATTTGGAAGTATACCTGCCTGGTTAATAAGAGTGGTATATGAAGGATGAGTTGCCGAATTTAACTTTAGAGAAAAATATGTGGTGTTTTGTAATTGGTTACTACTTATTTCCGGACTGAGAGCCATGCAGGATAACAAGCACAAACGGAGATTACGAATGGATTCTGAGCCTCCCTGGACGTGTACTTGTTAAACTCAAAACCTGAAATACCTGAAACACCCAGGTAACAGGTAGTTGCAAGTTTATTCACGAATCGATATCAGTTAGAGAACAATTGAAATCCAGGGAGTACTAGTACGCAACGGTTGTCCGGTCCTCCCTTGTTTTCAATGGTTCTCCAACTCATATCAGTCCATGGTCAGACTTGAGGCAAATCAAATCCCTACGAGTAAGCTACTGTCACATATAGTCATTTAACATTAGTCTGCTGATTAATCCTATATTTTAGTGCAAGGGTGGCATGGTATGCGTCATTAGGTGGCTTCATGTACCTCCATCATCAAGAGTGACTACAGGTTTCCTGTCTATGAATTGTTTTTTGTGTGCTTTGCTTCCCTTTCTACAACTACCGCTTTAGATCAAGGCACTGAAACACTAATGCTGTCTGCTATACTCATATTACCTCTGCAGATCACAATCTGTCAACATTTGTTATATTCTATATAATCTGTCCACAAAACAGAATGACTTCCGCCATGGAATTTGTCCAATAATTCGAAACTGAACTCTTATGTGCTTCTAAAGTAACATTATAAAAGATAAAGAAAGTTGGTGGGTACCCAAGATACACTTGTAGGCTTTGCTTAAAGTAAATGAAATTAGGAATGAGAAAGTAGGCAGGCCGAGATGGCTGACTGGTATAAGGTACGGGGTTCAAAATCACCCTTCCAGGTATTCTGATGAACAGTGCAGGTGTGTGATGGAATCTAGCCCCTGACAAACGATCGTACTTTTCAGTGGCTCAACGATGGGACCTGTGCTAACCACAGTGGTGGCCTGGGCTCGATTCCTTATCTCCATACTGCCGGAAATCATCGAGTTAACTAGCGAGTAGGAAACTCAGCAATGAGAGAGGGTTGGAAGTTAGTCCAACAATTTCAGTTAATTAAAGCAGCATCACCGCTAATAACGATTCTAACAATGAAACTTTTTCCATCTTGTTCCAATAACAAAACTTACGTTGAGAGATTTACAGGAACACCATTCTTTTCAGCTAGATGGCATCGGCCTTTATTACGTCATACACAACTTTACAAATTAATACCAAGTATAAACCGATGATTATAGTTCATCAATACGACAATAAGATTGAGCAATTAGTTATAAAGATAGTAATTCTGTTGATAACAAGGATGGGAAAGTGGAGTGGTTTTTCATAACATGCGTGATTAAACAAACAAATGTTCAGACAGACATAGTGGATGAAGGCTAATCAAAAAAGATTGGAAGATCTCACGAATGAGTTGGATATATATCACTGTTATATCGACTGTATGTTTATCTTAGTGAGAATAAAAACATAAGTTAATTGATGGTGAAATTTAATAAGATTCACCCTTCATTTACTTCTGCTCGTGCATACCGTGAATTTCGTGCTAAGTAGGTGAGGCGTTTCATTTGAGAAAAGCCCTTATTCGTAGGGCACTACAGACACTTCCTTGGTTATGAGCCCATTAAATATAAAAGAAAGTTTTGTTAAGCATCTTGTAAGCAGAGTACGAAAGATACGTGCAGGAGGTCCCATAAAAAGGAAGTGTATTCACTGACGTAAATCAGCTGTCCGGGCACAAAGAAACATATGATAGAGAACCTGAGGTGACGACACTGTGAGAGAAACTATTATTTATTAATCTGAAGTTTAGAGGGGACTTTTCAAATGAGAACTAATCAGAAGTATATGGAGAACATTTTAAGCAGCAAATCTGTGGGCAATTTTCTAGTCAGTGAATGACTGGTACTCAAGCCAGGAATAGGCTAGGTGGTTTCGCCATACGTATGTGTATTTATCATTTCAGCTGCTCCTGTGGAGACAGTAATGTTGCACTTATTACTAGACAGCTTAGCTAATATGTTGCTGAACATCATTCAAATGGGTTTAGTAAAATGTAAACGTCATCCGGAGTTCTATTTTGTCACGTTTAGTTGATAATGGCAATTTTGCAGAAAAAAGACGAAAGTATTCAAGGTGATTTATCGCATCCCACAAAATCTTCCAAATCGACACCGTATCCATCTACTGCACATAGCTGAGGTGATTAATATTCAAACTATCAAGCCAAAACTAGGCATTCAAAAAAAGTCCGTACAACCATTATCCCTCCCCTGGCCTATTAAGACCTCTAACCAACTGACGGCGTCGCCACCAACCCTTACTTGTATTTTTCAATCCCTCTATTATCTTTCATTAATTTCACCAAATCTTCACTAAAACAATTTATTTACTTCTCTTACAACTCAATCGGACTATTTATTTTTCCTAGCCTTTATCGACTACCACGTCTGCCTGAATATTTGTTTGTTTAATCATGCTATTTTGCATTATTCTTGTTATCACAGAGATCGTTCCACATTTTCATCCTTGTTATTAGTAGAATTATCACCATTGTGTCTAATTGCTCAATCTTATTATCACGTGGATAAATCACAATTATTGGTTTATATCTGTTATTTAATTGTGAAGTTGTGTATGTTGGAGTAAAGCCTGATGCTACCTAAGTGGAAGCAATATTGTTCCTATACAACCGTCTTTCTAAAA